CTGTCAAACGTCATCACTGATTGCTAGTGTGAAAACGTTAATTATTATATTATCACACCCTGTCTTGACACGGTGCAACCCATAGTATTTTAAGTGTATGGTGAAAATTGATAAATAATGTGCATAACTATAGATATTATCGTCGGTGACTGGTCTAGTAATTGACCCCGTATGAACTTACTAAACTTTTATTATTCGAAAATGTGGATTTTAATGTCAACTTTAATCATTTTCCACTTCTCGAAATTTTTACATACTACGAAAAATACTAAATGTACCACATTTCTTTTCTATTGTAATCTGTTTAGCGTCATGAAAACATATTTCATAGATTGACTAGTGTTCAGTCTGGATGACAATATGCGAAATTATCACGTCTGAGAATCAACACGATTGACCGACCAGTGATATTGTAATTTCATTAGGTAATTATTCACATAATAAAATAATTTGATATTTGCATGATTATACAATTGTTATGTTAATTTCAGCGAGGCACACTGTTACTATGATTGGTTAGTGTTTTCCGAGTTTGCCGTTGACACAAACCAACAAGTTTATTATCGAAATGCGACAAGATTGGCTGCGACATAATGTGTTATTATACGTGTCTATAATTGGTTGAATGTTAATATCATTATGAGTCGTTGCCATGTGATTGGCTAATGTAACTTTAGAAGGCAATCTTATTTACGCATCCATTACACATGTTTCAACTGAGTATTGAATAAAGTGTAGGTCTTTATTCGGGCAGCTGTAGGCTTCACTAGACGTATCGTGCCGTGTCTAATCATTGGAGCGTACGACAGTTATAGCCGAACAATATCTCCAATTATTGCCACTGGAGATTCCGATCCCGTGGAACCTATGTGAAGACTAATCACGAGAGGGATTTATACTTCATGAGCTGTGTATATCCAAAGTCCTAATATTCCTTGGATATGATGAAATAAAATGAAATAATGATACCCATTATTGCATAATCATCGGACTCGGGTGGTGTTGTACATCGCAGACAGTCGCCCTTAATTCCTTAAATAAATAATGTCAGATGGGAGATATCACTGGACGCCTATATATATCACTCGATTCAACCTTACGCAATGACAATGTTGTATCAACTAGAACATAAGCCAAATTGCACGAAGCTCCACAACTATATTATTTACTTTCTGCTACAGCCATGCGCTATTATGACACGTTGATAAATCGTGTATCGTTTTTTTTCTGTGTAGATGAGTACCTGGTGTTATGGTTCGAGTTGTTTGTTGTATTTATGTGTTGAAATTCACCTTTCACGTGGCGCTTTGAGGCTGTACAAGGACCGTATAACAAGTGACGGAAGTTTTTCCACTTCGATTTAATAGTCTATCATGAACCAAAGTTTCAAGTTTAGTTTCAATAGTGTTAAATAAATTTTATTATTGTAAAGTTTGTTATTGTACTCAAGCGTGGTGGTGACAAAAATTCGATCAATTCTTAAAAATGGAATGAAAAATCTATTAAACCACTACAAAATAACAAAGCAACATCAGAGGAATTAATATGGTCCGCATTATTTACTAAATGCTCTGCACAAGCTATTTATAGTGTATTCAAGTCAAACAAGGTTCCTGAATCTTTGTGTTAAGGATTAATTGTCCCAATATTTAAATGTGAACTGAAGTCTCAGCCTACCAATTATAACGGTATAGCTATATCAAATAGTCTTGACTGTTGTCTTGTTTGTTTGTTTGTTTGTTTGTTTGTTTTACATATAATCGGAGCCTGTAAATAGGTTTTATGTCCGTTGATTTTCTAAGAATTATTAAATATAAATACATTGATGAAGACCATTGATAAATGGGTGATCCCGTGGTCTACAAAAGCCAATCACAAGGAAAACAGTTCATTATAAAGAATACGGTGTGAAAATACAATATCTATATTTTTAAATATTATGTTGTTTTTATTTTATGTAGCCTAACACGCGATCTTGCTATGGATAACCCAAATGAGGGATACTCGCCTTTATATGTGGTTTTAACCACGTTTAATAGACCATTTTCCGTACACTGCGAGAATCACGCGTTATGCGTGAAATCGAACGTAAAAACAGGACAGACAAAGGTAGTAGCGTCAAACATTGCGTGGGATTCGACAACCCAAAAATATTTTGGGGCATTTCCATGCTTAATAATGTGCTGTATACATTTGACGATAGACAATTTCGATTAAGTGAGGGTATTCGAAAGCAATATTCCTCTGATCGAAGATCGGCCTGTCGATGTGAGCTACAAAATAAAGAAATTCGAGTTGAAAATCAAATCGTTCGCTTTTTGCGGCAGACGTTCGACGCGCGTCTTTCATGCACCTCGCAAGATCTCGCAGTTGAACGGAAAATCACCTATTAGACAACTGTTTCCTGCTCTTAAAACCACATAATATTTTTTTAACTTGTATTAACGTCTTTCCATGCCACAGACCCATATGATTAACATATAACATACCAAACAGAGTACATAAATATTATGCGAGGGTTTCTCCTTTATTTGGATTGGCCTTGTATATATATATATATAT